CGACGCGGGGCTCGAACTCACGGACCGCGAGATCGTGACCTGGCTGAAGTCGGACGCTTAACCGACTGCGCCACCCAGGCGCCCCCATTTCATTGTCTTTTTAACCAGCCTAGAACATATGGCGATCTCCTTTCATGCCTATAATAAAATTACTAGTCTTGGACTTTTAATAGAATCATCACAAGATTCTATTAGCAATCTAAAAATATTTTATTCTAGGATTCTTTTTTTCCAGAGTAACTATGTCTCAGTCGATGTTGATCTTAAATTATTATTCACTGTCTTGGAGCAAATTGTTTGATTTTATGCCTCTTGCTTTTGAGACTTCAAAATACTGATGATGGTAACTATATAAGGTGATGGATATGTTAATTCCCTTGATTGTGGTGACTTTCACAGTGTATGCATTTATCAAATCATCTAGTTGTACGCCTTAAATATATACAGTTTTTAATTGTCAATTATACCTTAATAAAGCTGGGGAAAAAAATTCTGATGAAACCTAAGTCTCCCTTCTAGATTGATTTTACTTTAAGGAGCTTCTCTTCCCTTATTTATAGGGGTTGCTGAGATCTTCCTCATTTCTTTCTTTGCTCCTCACAGAAGGTAAAATACAAAGGTAGTAGTACTTGTCTTTTTTTTTTTTTTTGCTTAAATCTGTTTTTAATTGCCCAAATCTCATTCAGCTTTATGTTGGATTCTCTTTTCCATAAGTTATTCATGAATTCTCTCTTCATAGTGTTTTTCTTCTACTGGGAGAAGCTCCTGAGTGACTACAACACCTACCTACAGTTCTGGTTTTCCCTTTCCTCATAGGTTGAATTACTGTCATTGTCATAGTGTGCTCTTTATTTTTTTTATTTTTTTAATTTTTTTAATAATTTTTTTTTTTTAATTTATTTTTGCGACAGAGAGAGACAGAGCATGAGCAGGGGAGGGGCAGAGAGAGAGGGAGACACAGAATCGGAAGCAGGCTCCAGGCTCTGAGCTGTCAGCACAGATCCCGATGCAGGGCTCGAACCCACAGACTGTGAGATGATGACCTGAGCCGAAGTCGGACGCTAAACCGACTGAGCCACCCAGGCGCCCCATAGTGTGCTCTTTAAACACAGCTGAACTCTCATCTCGTCATGATTAACACCTCTGTGGTCCGAGTACTTTTTAAATTTTTCAAAATCCCTTCTGCATTTTTTTTAAATCCGTGGTAAGGAATATGAAGTTAAAGGTGGTTACCAGTTTAATTTCTTAAGCTTTTAGGAAGAGAAATGAAAGAAATGTTAATGATTCAGTGTCATGAGTAATTTATAAATTCTAAACTCTTATACTCGGGCACCTGGGTGGCTCAGTTGATTAAATGTCTGACTCTTTGGCTCAGGTCATGATCTCATGATTCGTGGGATTGAGCCCTGCATTGGGCTCTGCACTGACAGTGTGGAACCTGGTTAGGATTCTCTTTCTCTCACTCTCTCTGCCCCTCCCCTGCTCTCTCTCAAAATAAATGAATAAACTTCTAAACTCTTACACTTAAAATTGTCACTTGGGCGCCTGGGTGGCTCTGTTGGTTGTGTCTGACTTTGGCTTAGGCCATTATCTTGAGGTTTGTGAGTTCGAGCCCCAGGTCAGGCTCTGTACTGACAGCTCATAGCCTAGAGCCTGCTTCAGGTTCTCTGTCTTGCTCTCTGTCTGCCCCTGCCCTGCTTGCACTTTGTCTCTCTTTCTCTCAAAATCAAACATTAAAAAAAATTGTCACACATATTAGTTGAAATATAAAACATTTAAAAATTTTTTTCATAGGTATTTCTACATGTGAGAAGCAGAATAGTGTCATGCAAAAGGATATACACAATATTAGTGTTAAGTAGCACATTTTATATCTTAAAATGTTACTTTTCTCTGATTCTTTCTAGCTTTGGCATCCTGGCCCCATATAAATGATAAAGTCAGCCAGTACTAAACAAATTCATTGGACATTGTATTATGAAAAATATTGATAGAATTAAAACTAGTTAAAAAACAATTTGGCTATGTAAAAATTTTGACATGAAAACTTGATCTATTTTGATCTATTAAAATTCACATAATCCAGTAAACACTTGGAATTATTTGATCTAGATTGCTTTTTCTTAATAAGTAACCTGAGCATAATTGAATGTTTATTTGGTAGTTCATGATCTTTTGCTGCTTCCATTTATTGGTTTTGTTATTTTTTTTCCTCCCCTGCCATTTAGCTACAAAAAATAATCAGAATCGAGCTGAGTATATATTGACCTCATGCCACATCATTGCCCTTCCTGCCCACCCCCCTACCCCCATTTTATTAAATATTTTTAGAAGATTTTTTGGTCTATTTTTTTTTTGTAAGTGAAATTTTGCAGGATAATTCTATTTAAATTAGATCGTCAATTAGTAAGTTTTTATTTAACAAGGATTTACTGAAGATTTAAAATTCTAGTAGAGTGCCATTCTTGGCTTTATTTCTTCTGTGATTGAAAGAAAGGAAATGAGCAAAACCTGGTCCTTGTGTTTTGGAAGTGAGGGTGTCAGGTAAATAACTATATTACAAGTAGAATATGATGTGTACTATAGTAGGATAATGTATACCACAGTAGGGTTATAAAAGGCAGACAACACTGCAAAGAGCAGCTTTTTGTGGTTTGAGGAGACCAGGGAATGCTTCATAAATGAGGTGACATTTTAATTAGAACTTAAAAGATGAGGCAGATATTTATAGGTAAAGAGGTAGGGGAGTGTATTCTAAGTTCAGAGAAAATACTGGGCACAGTACCAAGATAGAAAGCCTAATTTGCATTTGGGGAATAGTGTGTATCTCAGGGAAGTGTAGAACATAAAGCTTAGGGGAGGGTTTAGTCTTAAAGAGTTTAATTTTTTTTTTTTAATTTATTTATTTTGAGAGCATGAGTAGGGGAGGGGCAGAGAGAGATGGAGAGAGAGAATCCCAAGCAGGCTCTGTGCCATCAGTGCAAGAGTCCGATGCAGAGCCCGATCTCATGAACTGAGATCGTGACCTGAGCTGAAGTCAGGAGTCAGATGCTTAACAGACTGAGACAGCCAGGCACCCTTTAAAGAGTTTAAATATATACTTAAAGAATTTGAACTTCTTGATTTGTATGTAGGGAGCATTAAAGTATTTTTGAAAAGTGGAGTAGATACGGTATAATTTGTGTTGTAGGATAGGGCTTCGGACAGCCCTACAAAGGACAGATTGTAACTGAGAGACCATAGTTACGGGCCAAATATAGTCCAGGGAGAGTCATAAGTTCTTGAACATGGGTGGTGGCTAGTGAAATGGAAAGAAGGGGACAAATGACTTCAAGATATGTTAATGGCATGCACTGCACTTAGTTTGAATGAACAACTGATTAGAGAAACAAAATGCTCAACTATTAGTGACCAAAAAAAGGCCCATATGAGTCAAAGAAGGGTGAGAAAGTAGGAGCTGTAGTTGGAGTCTGAGGTGGTAGGGCTCAGCTGTATAAGTTACATGCAGTCTGCTAATAATTTGCTTATTCCACACAATGGTTTTCAAAAACTAGAGTGAATTGCCAGTATCTAAACATTGGAGAGTTTAATGTAAAATCTGTCATTTTTGGTTCTCTTGAAATACTGGATTCCTGTTTGGCAGTGTAGGCTGGTTCTGCTGGTGACTGCCTCCTTTAGGTGGAAAAATGCTTTTCAACTCATCTTGTTTCCTACCTAGCCTAATTTACAGTATGTATTCAAGTTTGCCATTTCTCACTTAGAGAATTAGTTATATTAAAATAGCCACAGGGATGAGAGGATAAAAGGCATTTTACATTGTGGTACCAATTACATTGGTATTATCAAAAGCCTGAAGCTAGGAACAAATAGGATTTGGATGAGGTGAAGAGAATAACAAACAGATCTGTGGCTGATACTACAGGTACATTTTGAAAAGTCATGTGAAATGTGAATGGCTAATTGGTCTAAGTGTGGTTGTATATTATATAAGTTACTGGAAGACCAGGAGAGTTGTGATATGATAAGCCAGGTGAAAGTCGTGGGGCATCTACCCTACTGTTTGACAGCAAATATCTTCTTCATTTTTACACCTCTAGTGCTTTTCTGTATTGGTGAGCACATAAAAAGCAACAGTTAATAGTGACTAAATGAGTGTTGAATTACTTTCGGTTAATTGGGTTTACTGAAATGTATAATGGATTAATAGAGGAAAGGTATGAATTAGGCAGACTGTAATCTAGTAGTGTGGTAATGAAAACCTGAATTTAGGCTTATCATCATGTAAATGGTGAGAAAAAGATATTTGAAAGGAAGAAATGACCAATACTTGTTCATAAGCCAAAGAAGACCATGAAAGAGGATAAAGATGACTCCATGCTTACTGGTCTGAGAGATTAGGACAACAGTGCCACAGAAATAGGATATTTTGCAAAGGGGAATAAATATGGGGGAGAGAGATAATTCAGTCTTTAAAATAGCGTAGTTGAGGGTAGTCAACAAAAAATTCACTCAACACCTATTTTGTTCCACTTATTGTTCTGTACTGGAGCTATACAGTGGACAAAGTATAAAAAATCTCTGCCCTAGGGAGTTTACATTGGAAACGAATAGAGGCACTTGGGGTGGCTCAGTCAGTTAAGCATCCAACTTCAGCTCAGGTCATAATCTCACAGTTCGTGGGTCCGAGTGCTGCTTCGGGCTCTGTGCTGACAGTGCGGAGCCTGGAACCTACTTCTGGTTCTGTCTCCCTGTCTCTCTGCCCCTCCCCTGCTCACGCTCTGTCTCAAAAATAAACATTAAAAAAAAAAAAGATTGCGTTGAATGGGCATACAGTAAGCAAAATATACAATGTCACAAGATGAAAAGTGCTATAGGGAAAAAGAGAAAGGGAAGAGGCACAGTCACTTTAGGGGCACAGCAGTCTTTGGAAAAGGAAGTGTTAGGTAGGTGAGAGTGTGAGGGAGAACAGGAAACCTGCAAATTTAAATCAGTTGGTCAGAGAAGACCTCACTGAGCCAGTGATGGAGCAAAGATTTGAAGGAGGTGAGTACATAAACCATGAGGGAAGAATGGCCCAGGTAGAGGGATTGACTAATGCTAAGGCCTGAAATTAGGAGAGTCTTATTCAAAGAATAAGAAGCCCACGTGTCTGGAGGCTAAGACAAAATGAGATCAGAGAGATCAGGTAAGGGGATAAAATGTGAAGCGTGTGCAGATCATTAGGTCAGAGTAAGAAGTTCAGTTTTCTTCCTAAGTAAGATAGGAAGGCCTTAGAAGCTTTTGAAAAAAGTGACATGATGTGACTTTACCTACTAAGGTACCCTGTGGCTGCTGTGCTGAGCACAGACTGGGAAGTGAAGGCAGAAGTAGGAAAAGCAGGCTTTTAGAAATTCAGGCAAGAGCATTATAATGACTTGGAGTAGAGGGCACAAGAAATGTTCAGGAGTGGTCAGATTCAGGATATATTTTGAAGATGGAGCAAAACAAGGTTTGATGACAAGTGTGGCATATGAGAGATAATTCCAAAATTTTTGGCATGGGTAGCTTCCTCTGAAAGGAGGAAGTTATTTAGGGGCATGTGGGAGATCAAGAGTTTGATTTGGGGCTTGCTGAGGCTTTTTTTTTTTTTTTTTTTTTTTTTTTTTTTTTTTTGTAATTAAAGACAGTTTTATTTGATCCTATCCAATTTGTGTGTGCACATATACACAGTCCATAGCAGACTTTGCAGGAATGTATATATTTCATTAAATGATAAATATGAGAACGTTTGGAAGTCCTGTGTATAATGTACTTTTGTCACTGTGAATTCTTTTCATAGGTTATGTGGGGCATGCCGAGTTTTAAATGGCTATTAGAAACCCAGTGGAAGTGTTTGGATAGACAGATGGAACCTTAAGTTAGGGGAGAGTTCCATCCTGGAGACAAATTTGGGAGTCCTCAGTATATGGATAATATTTAGAGCCACAAGGGTAAAAGAAATTAGCAAGTGAATGAGGTAACTTAGAGAAGAGATCCTGGGACTGAGCAACTTTAAGAGGTCTGGGGGAAAGGAGCAGCAAGAACCAGGATTGTGGAGTCCTGGAAGTGGAGAAAGTGATTCAAAGTGGAAGGAGTTGGGGCCCCTGGTGGCTCAGTTGGCTGAGCATCGGACTTCAGCTCATGATCTCACAGTTTGTGAATTTGAGCCCCATGTCGGACTCTGTGCTGACAGATCAGAGCCTGGAGCCTGCTTCGGTCTCTCGTCTCTGCTTCTCCCCTACTCATGCTCTGTGTCTCTCAAAAATAAATATTAAATTTTTTTTTAAGTATTCAAAATAGAAGGAATAATCAACTGTGTCACATGCTGATAATAATGTTAGGATGAGGATCTGAGAATCAGTCACTGGATTTGCAACATAAAAGTTATTAGTGACCTTGATGAGTTTTAGTGGAGTCGTGTGGGTGAAAGCTTGTTGGGAATGGGATTATGGGAGATGAGAGGAGAAAGTGGAATCATGTATTTTTTAAGGTGATAAAAAATGATGTGATCCAGCAGAAAAGAAACAGTTGATTCAGGAGAAAGCAAAGAATTGCTGGAGAAAGATCCCTGAGAACGGGTTATATGAATATGTATGAATAACAGGAGTACAAGCAGGTTTGCATGACTATTGATGCTGGTACAGATTTGGTGGTAGAAATTTCTTGAAGTTTTTTCAGAATGCTTCTCTAAGATTTTTAGTGAAATATTGATCAAGATTTTCAGCTGAGAATAAGTTATGAAAGAGAAAGTGTTAGGAATTTGGGAAAGAGGAGAAAGTTGAAATTGTTAAGAGTAAATGAATTTGGGAAATGTTTGACTGTAGGGTAGCATGTTGTTTGGGCTATGTATTTAAGGTGAAACTAAATATTGTGGCTTGGTATTTTTCTTCCTGAGTAGTGCAGGCACAGAGTAGGTGATGAAGAGTTAGATTTTACCAGTTTGGGGATTTGCAAAGTGTGTGTCAGAGCAGGAGTTGGGAATGGAAGGCAATGGTGGTTTTGGTTGATTGTGGAATTTAAGGAAGGAAATGAGGACAAGAGGAAGGTAGTAGAATCAATAGATTATAGATCCCAGATGAGTTAAAGAATTATCAGAATTGGGATATGCAAGGAGAGTGTTGGTCATTGTGCCGTGATTGAAATTGAGACTATGGAGGGATTGCAAGTTAGGAGTAACAAGGTCAGTATAAGATATCACTGTGGGAATGAGTAACCGAGGTAGCTTGGAGGACAAGAGTAGAAGAGCAGAGTTAAGGAAATGAGAGGCCAGGGAATTGGAAAAATGATCTATGTGGATATGAAAGCACTAATAATTAAGACAGGAGTTACGCTAGAGGGATGTCGACCCACAAGTTAAGTTATTCAAGGCGTAACTAACCTCAGTTACTAAAGCACAGGTCTATAGATACCTATAAAGAAAATTGGTAGTATGAGTGGTATAATCATGACATGAGATTCCAAGCTGGAGTAGAATGGAGATGTTCTACAACAGCTAGAATGAAAATTCTTCTGTATTCATTATCTTGAAATAAAATAATTTCCAGTTGTTGATGAAGCTTTCAAGTAGATTTGCAAAGGTTAAATGTTATTTTCTCATGGATATAATCTTTTAACAGCAAAATGGAAAAAAAATTTAGAAGCCTGACATCACAGACAATATAAATAAAGGTAATTGTTTGATTTTTTTCATGGGCTGTTATAAAGTATAAATTTCTTGTGTTTTAACAGATGGGAAATAAGACCAAGATTGCAAAATGTCCATTAAGAACAAAACAAACTGGATACATTCTAAAGTCAACACAAAATACTTGTATCAAGAGTGGAAAACTTTTGCAAAAGAAGAGAATGGGTTCAGAAACTTCACAGGCAAAAGGTGAAAAAAATAGTATGACTTTTTCACCCACTAAGGATTTATGCAAGCAGTATATAGATAAAGACTGTCTTTATGTCCAGAAAGAGATTTTACCTGCCACCCCCAATATACAGAAGACTAGAAACACCATAAATACATCTATAGTATCTAAAGAGAAGCTTTGCCAAAAACACATCACAGCTGAAAATATGAAGAGCAGTTTGATGTGTCTAACACAAGACCAACTACAACAGATTTTGATGACTGTGAACCAAGGGAATGGATCTATTTCCCTGATTGAAAATGGAAAGGAGGAAACATGTAAGGTTTTTTTTGAAGTTTTAATTAATATTAACTTTACCAATATGTACTTGTTTTCGAATTTCTCATTCATTGGATTTGATATAACTGTGGCTCTTAAATTCTAAGTTACTGTGTAACAATCTTTTAAAATAATTATTCTTTTAGAGAACAGTTTTCTCATGCAGAATTACTTGTATAGTTATAATATGCCACATTTTAAGGTTAATGCTCAAAACACAGTACAATCATGGTACCATAGCCTTAAGAAACCCAATTCTGTGGACTCCAGAGTAAAAAAGCTATGGTACTTATTTTAGAATATAGAAGGCTCTACTTACATTAAAAATAATTATATTAGGGGCGCCTGGGTGGCTCAGTCGGT